AGAAAACACCATGTAAACTTGTTAAAAATTATATGGAGATTCAAGGTGATTTTCGATTTTCGTCGTTATACCCAATTTCGTTATTCGTGATATCTACTGCGCCACTAATTATGTCAATAATAAAAATGGAAACCATGAGATGGGCGAGGTTACTCCCATGCGGAGTCCCACTTGTGGCAAACATATCCTCGCGCCTCGACGTATTGAACTCTGTACGTACGACAATATCTGTTTTTTTGTCAGATCCCATTTCCACAAGTTTGTAGAGAAAAATGCGAATACCTAAGGAAAGCATTTGAGAAGTCAGTGTATAACGATTGCATAAATTTAAAATCGGTTATCTAATGCTTGAGAGGTAAATTGAGCGAACCATGCCAAGTTCCTTAAGGCGCTACGTTTCTTAATGAAACCTCGCTGAACGTCCGCTATTAGATTTTTAGCCTGATTAAAAATGCCTTCGTACCCGTAGCAGGACCGGAATTTTGACGGTCGGTCAGGTATCGACATAGAGGATTTTTTTAAATTAATAAAAGACTTGGGTTGTGAGATATAGAATTGTCCACTTTAGCTAGATAATTCCTATAGGCAATGTTAATCTGTTAGTGTGTGTTAATATTCGAACTTAATTCGTTGTAATAGCTTTTACGCAACTAAAAACTGTATGCTTTTCTTTATAACCAGCGATCTTCGCACACTTTTTTGTTGTTTTGACCCTGAAAATATGAATAGATCGGAAACAGTCGAATTGAGGGCTGTCTGTCGTCGATTATTGAACGCAGCAAGGTCTTCTTGGACCTTCTAAGTCATTTTGAAATCTGTCAATAAAAGTGTGTTTTGAAACGACAATTAAAGGTGCCTTTTGTATATTGCCTGTATACATATAGCCTCTATACATATGAAGGAATATTTGGAACGTTGCAGCGTTGTTATATAATTAATTCATTAATTACCTAATTAATAATTAAATTAATATATATTATGAAATAATTAATAATTAATTAATTAATAATCTTTCAAACATTATGGGTAAAAATCTGAAACTTGGTTTATGGATTGGGATACGAGATGCTATTTTATATTTAAAAAAATGAATAAAAAAAGCTCTGCGTGAGTTATGTAAATCGAGTATGAAACAAAAAAAGAAAACGAGATGTAATGGTAACATTGCAAAAAGAACAATTTTTAATTAACTAGGAATTTTTCCATATGAGATGAAAAATTTGGGGGATGTATACGCTACCGGGCTTTTAGTCAAGGTCTTCGTAATTTTGAATATTTATTATTGACAGATAAAACGAGTTCCAAGGAAATGAATACAGTTTATCTTCGGCTCTCCTCGTTTAAGGTTATAAATAAATCGAATACAGGAATTCTGTACTTTTTGCAATTTATATTTAGTTAGAACATCCAAGCAGGATCGATAGACATTATATATTATAGTAATATAGATGATTCAGTTCAGAAGTTTGTTATTAAAAACTAGACCCAGTGCTTCATATTTTTCAACAGCTGGAATTATATATTATATATTATTTATAAATATATTCAAGCTGACTCAAAGTGTTTTAATACAGACGATTAGAGACATTTATTTAGTTTTCTTGCTTCTTGCACTGCATCAGACTGGGAAAAAGAAATTTGAATTTGGATGTGATCAGCTTACAATGGAAAAAAGAATTCCTAATAGTTCCTAATAATTCCTATCAACTTTTATGTTACTGGATGCAATATTCTCCATCGAAACTAGCTGAGCACACGGCATCAAATCCTTTACTATAGGACCAAATTACATAAGGGTAAATTAAACTGGATTTTTAAATAGAACCCTCTGTGGCCAACTATGGATCGTTCCCTTTATTTCCACAATCAAATACTAAAATATTCGTTGGAAATGTGCTTAGCCTTAACTGAACCTATATTTAAAATTTTATCGGAAACTTTAGAAGGATGATTGTTTTTATCATAGATTTTCTTCGCCAAATTTTCTAAAAAATAAACAACAAGAAAACTTTCTGTCATCTCCACCAACTTGTCATTGAAATTGGTGTGCAAGCAGAAAAATACAAAATTCTTGAATATTATTAAATTAAATTAAATTTCTTTCTTTCATGACATTTTACAATTTAACTTTAACTTAGGCTTCACTTCATCATTTCAATTTAATTCTTCTTTTTTTTTTAATTCAATGAGCTCGCATCTTTACTTAGACGACTGGCCAAGTTTTTTCCACATCAACACGTAAATTATGAAAATTTTGAAAATCGTTAAAGTAGGACAAACACAATAAGATTCAAGGCTCCCTGTGGGAATAGATCCCACAACCTCCGGCAAGTCGAGTTGGCGGGTGTATCTGACGCCCTACCAATTGAGCCATCCTTGGTCCCTAGTTTTAATTCTAATAATTCTAACATTGTGCAGCGACTTTAAGTATATTAGACAATGATATAAGGTTGTTGTGATTCATTTTTATTCTTTATTATATCATAAAAACAGCTTGTATAGGTTGAAGTAATTTTTTTTCTTCAAGACTGAGCTGGTTTTGTTTAAAGTTTAGCGACACGTATTGCTTTTCCCTCCCAACATTATGTTAGTTCCGGTGTAGTGGTGAGCATAAATCCATACTCCAGGATTTTCTGTTAAATATTTGTTGAAAACACCTAAGAGAGATGCCATATAATTTTGCTAAAACTTAATTTTCTCAACCGTTTTGAAACTGTACTTGCCAGGCAAACAAGTAATTCCGTCATGCTTGCCGAATACTTCACATAAACACAAGAAAACACTCCTGTTTGCTTTGACAGCAGTACTCACCTCACAACACTGTAACGAGGAGAAAAATACATTATTGAGTTTTCAAACAAACTTTCACAGTATACTGTAATATTATTTACCAATCTTTTGGATTCCGGTTGCGACTCTGTAACCAAGAGAGTTAATAACCGATGATTTTTGGACTAAATGGTGATGTGACCATGCATTGAGATATAGATCTGTGTGCGTATGAATGAATTGGACATTATTATTAGTTGCCAATTAAACATTTCAAACGTGAGTTTACGTGGTTATGGAAATCTCGGGGAGATTCTTGTCCATGAGGCCAAATAACAAAATTTTTGGTTTTAGATGGAAAGTGCCTTGATTTTAAGATATTTGAAATTATGTTGAGAGTTTGGGATTTTCGATCTAATGTAATGGTTTTTTATTGTTCAATGAAGTGAAAACAATTAAATACAAAACTATTTTTTTCAGTGAAGAAGCTTTAATACTAGATTTAAGGTTTCATTTCAAAGATGACATAAAATATTTTTTTAAGTTTACGATAGCATCCATCTGTAAGAATTATCTTGAATTTTTTCATGCTAGTAAGTTATGTTCATCACTACCGTAGCATGTTCTTTATCTGCTTTTCAGATCACTATGTCGGTATTTTATTTCCGAGATTTTAAAGCTACGCGTTCCGATTTTAATGACTTTTCTATAAAAAATTGAATTATTTATATTTCAAAGATAAAGTTAAAATTTTAAAACCAGATTTCTTCAATTTTTTGTGCATTTTATTAATATATTTTAGTGTAAAAATAAAAGCTTAACACTTCAGAGCATCTACGAGAAACACATTTCAAATTTTCCATTCTACGGTACTGATATAACCCAAATAAAATCATATAAGCTTTTTTCACTATTTATACTCGGATGATGTACTTTCAACATGATGCACTAGATGTTTCATAAAACTCAAGGTAGGTGAGTCACTTAAAGTGAAAAATTCGTAAAATGTTAATGACAAAAGTTATTGAACCGAAATTCAGTGTTAACTTAAAACATTAACAGTAAAAGACTTTTTTTTTAGTTTGATTATAAAAATAAGAATTTAAGAAATTATAGATAAATTCAGACATTTAGCTGTTATATTATTTTATTTTATTTATCTGAATGACAAATTATAATATTTACAAAATATGATGGATGAAATATGTTCATAATCATCTAATTAATTCAGAAATTTAATTATTAGATTATTAATTGATCACCAGTGAGAACAAAACATATCAGACATAAAAAGCACAGTTATATTTATAAACAAATATCAGCTATGAGTTTTTCATTATCACCAGCCATCGCAAATAATAAACAACCAAATAATCTTATCTGAGATTTAGAATTTACCAATATAGGAATCAGTTACCCGGGATAATGTTCATGTGCCTGCTTTAGCCCCGCCTCCTTCCAACAGTCTATAAGTCGATTTGCCAATCATCCTGTTAGCTTCTTCAGAGTCAATTGACATAACCCAAGGCACTGAACCCAGAATTAAAACATCTTACATCTGCTATTCTCTCTAATAATTTCCACATTAGAGATAGTAAGCGTTCCATTCGAAAATTCACTTCACCACCACCTTCCAGAGACAATGAGTCCGAAACCAACCTCACACTTGGTATTGTGGTCCTCTCTTAGGTTCAAAACATCACTAACCACATATCAAAAGTTCTTAAGAAATCTAACGTCAAAGCAAGATTTACTACTTGTCCAAAAATTTCCCAATGTCTTTGATTCATCAAAAACAAAATTCCATTTGAAGTAACAGGAACTTACAGCATTCCATGCATATGCAGAAAAGAATACATTGGAAGGACGGCACGAAAAATATCAACTATAATCGAAGAATATGAAAGAGCCTTAAGACTACGACAAATAATAACCCATCAGCAGTTGCCGAACACAATCACGATAAAACTGAAATTCTGGCCGGCAATCAATTAACACTAACCAAACGGTCTTAACTGCGACTCAGGTCTTTATCTTTCACCAATACGGGAATCCAGTCATAAAAACAATGTTCATACCAGCCCCCCTCGAATAATATATAAACAGGTACAGAGTTCGATTTATCAACAACCGACGCAGCAGGAGACCGTCCACCAAGCCGGGCGTCTTCTACCACGCACTTTTATGCACCTATATCTTTTTTAAAAGGAGTTATAGTTATTTTTTTGCAGGTATTTGGTAACGGCGTTTCCGCTGTATCGCTACCAGCCGCTACAGATGAAGTGAGCAATGGCGAAACGTCGATCGTGACTGGCTGGGGACAAACCGATCCTGACGATGATACCTCGCTTTCCGATCAACTTCAGGTTGAGCATACAATTGAGTTGCATATCGCACTTTTTAAAAATGCATAATAAGCTGTCTCAAATTATGTTTTGTTAACGGTTTTCTCCGGATAATCTCCGGATATAACGAACCAGTAAAATGATCTTGAGCTAGTTCGTTATGTCCGAGGTTTGCTATCAACGGTGTATGCATAAAATATCAGAGATACGCTAAATTATTTGGTATTCGTGAAAATAGGTTCGCTATAACCAGAAGTTCACTATAAGCGTGATCGTTATAGATATGGATAAATATTCATAGATCGAAAAAAAGTTTACTTTAACTGGAAGTTCATTTTAACCGGGTTCGTTATAACCGGACATTACTGTACGTGTTAATAATTTTAATATATTCTTTTAAAAGGTGGTGATATTACCGACAATCAGCACCAGTACTTGCGGTAATTATTACGGGTCTTACGTTACGCAAAGGATGTTTTGCGCTGGATATCAACAAGGAGGAAAAGATGCTTGCCAGGTATGATTCGACAGAAATATTTTTATATATAAACTTAACGTTTACCAAAACTTTTTAAAAGTGCCATTAAATATCAATTTTACTTTTTCCAGGGTGATTCTGGGGGCCCCTTGGTAATTAACGGTGTGCAATACGGTATAACTTCCTGGGGTGATATTTGCGCCCAAGCCAGTTCACCGGGTGTGTTCACCAAATTGTCCGCATTTAGGTCTTATATAGACGGCATTATTTCTTAGGAAATTTACAAATAAATTGTGACTAAAACCGGCTGCAGGCCGCATGGCGAGCTTTGGCAAGTTGTTAAACCAAACGTAAAACAAGGTACACCAAATGGAAGTTTTGTTGGTCCAATTCTCAATCATTTTAGCTTCAACAATAATGACATCATAAAATAATCTTAAATGTACCACGGTATTTACTGTAATTAGTCTTAAATCCTCGAGAAACAGGCATGTAGTAAAATATTACTGCAATCAGTCCCATTGGATATTTGCCAAAGCCTGCCATGCTTTTTGTAATCGGCTTTATATTATTAATCTATATGTTTTTTTAATACCTACTCCAAAATACTCAATTAAACACTGTTTGAGCATGCGGAAAGTGTTACATTAAGAAACCAACTTCGTTACCCATGGTCGCGAGTCACTTCGGCTGAGTAATTTAGTCATGGGTTTATTAAACAGTCAAATTTCAATTCAATTTTCTTCGGAATTTGAAAATCTTTTTTTTCGGTCCTAAAAAAAAATTTTCAAATAAAAAAAAATATTTGGGATGTCCCGCCCAGTTTCAATAGATTCCATACTGGGATGGAACTCTAGGTTCCTTCCGCATTTAAACGCAATAGCTCAAAATTTCGGACACCTACTTTGTTTCATAGCGATTTTCCGAGCAAAAGCAGGTAATAGCTGACAATATGGCGGCCGATGTCTGATCCGCCCAATATTTTGCAGGGTGCTGCAGATCGCCTAGTATTAGCATGAACGAAAAATTGGAACCGGTAGTTCCAACCGTTCGAATGTTATCCGCCTTGAAAAATTTACCGTAGGTCCGCAATGAAGAACTGTGATCTCAAATTTAGTCATGAGTCATTGAGAGCAACAACTTGGTAGCAAGAAGAAAACAGTTCAGACCATTAATTAGCCAATGAAAAAATCAATCAGGGCCGGCAGAACCTGGGAATGGATGTAAAGTTTTGCTTCGAAAAACAATACAAAGCAAAGTATAAACCCACAGAACTACCCAGCGCAAGCTTTTAGAGTTTCCACAAAACACACAACCTTTACCCATAAACATTTTCCTAAGTGAAGTAGATTTGACTGTAAAAACATAAGCTGGCTTGTTGAAGCCAATTTGATGAATTTTCCAAAGAAACTCTTACAGGCTACTGTAGTACTTGCTGACATTGCCCCTTGCCCCATGTATTATTTCAAAAGATGCAATCATTTCAGATGTCGAATCTATCCTAAACAAACTGCCATCTCAAACAGCTAATGAAATTCGATTTGAAAAGCAAAAATCCTTAAAAAATCTACACCTGCTCCTAATATTCGAAAGCCTGAACGCCTTACTCTAAAGTCTCTAAAATCTAATCCCGATGTTGTAATTCTAAAACCAATAAAAGGAATGTTAAGGAGGTCATAAACACAAGTGAATATCATGAAAAAATTGAAGATATTCTTACAGACGGATCCTATAGTTCAACTTAAAAAAGATCCTACATCACCTATGCAACGCAAACTTAAGTCTGTTACTAAGGCTTCCGTGAATAAGTCTGTCACGCCTCATGACAATAAAATTCATCGTCTCTAAGGAAGCTCTAAGATTCACAAATAAGGATTCCACCTTCGACCTATTGTTTGAACCATTGGTTCTTCACATATGCTCTATAAAAATATCTAGCTTATATATTAAAACCCTTTACAACGATAACTTATAGTTTCTTATTATCATTTCATTGAACATTATTTTAGATCTACACGATATTCTCATTAATATCGACGTAGAATTAATGTTTCATAAAGTCCCTGCTTAAGAAACTCTCAACATTATTTCAGGTATATTAAAATATATAATATATAGATCTCTTAAAACTCGAGAATCAAACCTTATTATTGCAAAATGCTTGTCTGGATTATTTTTTCTTGTAAATTTATGAACAAACGTGAGAAACAGCTATGGGTTCTCAAGTTATCACCAGTTATGTCGAATATATTTATGGAAGCCTTTGAGAAGAAAGCTCTTGACACTTTCCATCTAAAAGCAAAATTATGGAAACGCTACGTTGATGACAACTTTGTTATTTGGGCTCATCGCCAAGATCCTTCCGAGATTTTACATACATCTTATATATCTTAACATACGTTTAACCAATGAATTTTAAACTAATAATAACCTTCCGTTCTTAGATATTCTTACCAATAGAAAATCAGACCTAACATCAGGTCATTCTGCTTTCAGAAAACCTACCTCCAAAGATCGATTCCTTAACGCATTGTCACATCACCATCTGGCTCATCGGTTATCAACTCACTTGTTTGCAGAGTCGTAAAGCCATCTTAATGCGAGTCACTGAACCCAGAACTAAAACACTTTAGAAATGCACTTCTGTCTAATAATTTCCACATTAAAGATAGAGATATTAAGCGTTCCGTCAGAAAATACAATTCACCACAACCTTCCAAATACAATGAGTCCGAAAGCAACCACACACTTGCCACTGCTGTCTTTCCTTACATTCAAAACATCACTGATAGCATATCAAAAGTTCTTAAGAAATATAAAGTCAAAACCAGATTTACCACCTCTCAACATCCTGGATATGTCAAATAAACTCATCAGCAGTTGCTGATCACTCTTTTCACCAATATGGGAATCAGTCATTCGAGGACAAAGTTTATGTGCCTCTCTTTGGCTCTGCTCCCTTCAAACAATATATAAGCAAGTACAGAGTGGTATGTAAGTCAGTTTTGGAGAGACCAACAGGATGATTGGCGAAATATCAGTAATTTTGATTTATAAACAACCGACGCAGAGAGACCTGCAAATAACTATTTGAAGAAGGAATTCATTAAACACACACTGGCATATTCTGACATTATTTTTATTATTGGCTCTTTTTAAAATCTAACTTCTGGGTGTTAGATATATGCTTTTATATAAGATTAACATTATTTGTTAGTTTTGAATCAATTAATTCATGAAATATTAAAAAAGTAACTTACGTTTTTTATTGTAACTTAATCGTGGTTGCTGTGCACTATATATTTTGTTTCTCTCTTATATGGAGGCGGTCATGTTTTATTTAGATTAGTGTGCAATGTCACTTTGATGTGCGTTCATTGTTTGATGGGTCTGCAGATAGATAGATAGATAGATAGATTCATTTATTGACTACGTTTCGTACAAAAGGAACGTACAATTGTAGCAAGTCAGAAGTTATATTCAAGTGTAATAAAATCACATTAAAAAATAACATAAAAACACACATCTAATACAAACAAAATTATACAGTACTATACAGTTTTATAGCGCATCGAAACTAGTGACAGTGTCAATGTATGCTCGCAGGGAGTAAAAACAATGACGTTGTAGGAATTCTTTAATAGTATGTTTAAATTTTCTATTGCTCATCTTTTTCACGGTACCTGGCAAATCATTATACAATTTCAGGTTCAACGAGTTGCTCTCAGACTTCCTCAGTCTAAATCTAGGCCGTCTAAGGAGATCCCCCGAACGAGTTGGATAGGAATGGCAATCAGAATTAGCGCTAAAGATTCCTTTCGTTCTTTGTATCTCTAATAACTGGTAGTAGATATAGATGCAAGGAAGGGGCATCACTTTAAATTTTTTAAAATAAGATTGATAATGGTCCCTATATCCTATATTAGCAACGACTCGAATGGCCCTTTTCTGCATTCTAAAAATCTCCACAGCAGCTGAGGAATCACCCACAGCACCATGCCATAGCATAAGTGCGAATGCAACAAAGAAAAATAGACCATAAGCAGAGTCATTGTTCCTATCAGGCCTCTTAGTCGTCGAAGAACGAATATGTTGCTGGACAATCTATTTTTCAGGTCTGAGATATGTTGTTTCCAATTTAGACTATCATCGATCCTAATGCCAAGCAACTTAACGGACTGTCCACTATTTACCAAGCAATTGGAGGAAAACGCAATACTCTGGGTCCTGTCTAAATTTAATTTAAGATAATTATTTTCGAACCAGACATTAGCCCTGTCCTCCAACATGCCAACACTAACGGACAACTCCTCGAGACTCTTAGCAGATGTAGTGAAGGATGTATCGTCGGCAAACATCACGGAGTGATTGGGGGCCAAGAAATGAAAAAGGTCATTTATGTAGATTGTAAATAGTAGCGGGCCCAGGACGGAACCCTGGTGCACCCCGCTTACTACTGGTTCAAGTGATGAACGGTCATCCTGTTATTCTACAAACTGCTGTCGGCCCTGCAAGTAGGACGCTATAAGATCTAAGGGCAGACCTGGTATACCATATCTATATAGCTTTTTAATAAGAAGCGGGTGGAGAAACACAGTTGAAGGACCTGGAGAGATCACACAAGGTCAAACCAACTAATTCACCCCCCTCGAGGCCTTCAACTATCCCACTCACAACTTTAGACACTGCTTGGATCGTCGAACACCCTCCCCTAAATCCACACTGACCAGCACAAAGACATTCGATCTTATTAATATAAGAAGTTAGCTGATCTTTTAGTAAGATTTCAAAAATTTTTCCGAACAAAGGCACGATTGAAATCGGCCTGTAGTTGATAGCATCATTTATATCACCTGACTTATGGATTGGAACTACTCTCGAAATAATAAACAGCGACGGAAATACACCTGTGTCAATACATTTATTAAATAAAGTGGTTAATGGCCACCAAGACACTATTGATATCATAAACATCGCTAGAATAATATTTTTCCAATCTTAGTATGGCTCGGTACTTATCCTCACGTTATCGGATGCAAAAAAAAAGTACTTTACTCCAATGGAATCACACATGCACTCTGTACATTGTGATTCACCGTTAAGATCTTTATAATATTACTCGAGAAAGAACTAAAAAAACTGTTAAGATCGTTTGCTGATAAATCAGATTCTTTATCACATCTCCCAAGACAATTTCTTTCATAGTTAACGATTTTGCAGACCTCTTTGTTTTTATTGGTTGATTTTTCGATAAAGCCATCAAAGGCAGCTTTTTTGGTTTGTTGAATTTTTTGTTTATATTCTTTATTTAGTGATTTATACACTTCTGTATATAGAGGGTTCTGTGAGACTTTACTGAGAGTTTTAATAGCTGACACTCTGTTTCTAAGAGCTACAAGATCTTTATCAAACCAGTTGACCGGTGATTTTTTATGAGGAACGTTTTTAACAGAAAAATTTTGTTTGATCAAGTCTTGAACTTTGTCCAATATAAATAAAGACATAAAGTTGACATCGTTAGAACCAAGGCAAATATTCCAATCCGCAGCTTCCAAGGACTTCCTAATATTCACATTACCTGATTTGGCAATA